AAGGAAGGAAGGAAGGAAGGAAGGAAGGCAGGCAGGCAGGCAGGCAGGCAGGCAGGCAGGCAGGCAGGCAGGCAGGCAGGCAGGCAGGCAGGCAAGCAAGCAAGCTAGCTCTGATCTTTAAGGATCCCATATCTTGAGTTGAGAAACTAAGAAACAAAATAACATGGCAACTGGCCCAGACTCTTCAGTCTTTAGAGTGCTTCCCACTCCTATGGCACGAGAGAAGTTTAAAGGGGAAGTGAAATCACAGCAGAATCTGAAAAGATAGATAGCATTACGATGTAGGGGAAATAAACAAAACAGTTAAAAATTACAAGGTATCTGATAATTGGGATAGGACAATTCAGGGGAGGAAGCCGTGAAGGGCCAGGCTGGAGAGGCAGGCTGGGTCCTGTCACTAAGCGTCTCAGAAACCAAGGCCAAAGACTTCCTGGGTCCCAACGGGGTTGGAAAACCACTCAAGTTCGGTAATCTTCAGATTTCACTTCTAAGGAAAACTCATGGAGCTTCTAGAGATTAATACATCAAGGCAAAAAAAGTTTTTTAAAAAATTTTAATTCCTTGGCATTCACCATACCAAAGAGCTAGGTTTTTTTTTTGTTTTGTTTTGTTTTTTTTAAAGCTAGTTTAGTTCCTACAAACCCAATTTCCTAATCTGTGCTCTGTCATTGGTTCTTTGGTATTAAGAAAGATAACTTGTTGGGAGCTGCTGAAGCTGGAATTGCTCGGATGTGGGAGGGCAAGATGAGGCCTCATTGCCTAAAGCAGCCAAGCTACCTCAGTCTTGAGAAACATTCTCCTGCCTGAACATTGTGGGCTACTAGTCACTAAGCAACATTGTGTCTTGCCAACTTTGCAAAGGTATAAATAGTCCTTTCTCATGTTCAGGGGTCCTTTGCCAGTCAGGCATGATCTGCCCTTATTTTCTAAATCCTCTCGCCATTTTCTCCTGGGGACCACTGAGATACCAATAAATCCCTACCACTTTAGGCCATGTCCTCACATGTAAAGGGGTTGAGCACGTCCACTTCTCAATTCTCATCCTGTTTGACTTTCCCTATAATAGAACAACCTATCACCAGCCCCATTATATGATATTGAATGTGTTAATTTAGCAGATTTACTTCATCTGCATCCCATAGCAGGAAAAAAAAGTATAGATACTATGTAACTTTTTGAACTGATTAATAATTATTTATAATGGTTTTTAATCTTAATACATTATAAACTGTAAAGGAAAATAAAAAGTTGCAGCAAGAGACTTTTAGCAAAATGTGACATCTTGAATGTCACAATAGTAATCACTAATTTGACCTTTGCTTTTTTTTTCTTTTTTTTTTTTTTTGCAGAACCGGGGATTAAGCTCAGGCCCTTGAGCTTGCCAGGGAAGCACTTATTCTACTGAGCCATCTCCCCAGCCCCAACCTTTGCAATTTTTTATCACAAGAAACATCAATAGGATAAATTCATTTTCAAAAGAAATAAAGGGCAGATTAACTTTTCTTTAAACTGGCAATTTAAAAAAGTAAACTTTTCAAAAAGAAACAAAATGCTCATGAAAATGTGTAAGTTTTGCAATCATTTCTATGGCTTCGATAAAGTGAATCAAACTTCAGTTCTAGTTTCTGCCCTGAGAAGTCTTATGATGGTGAACACCATTTATCTGATTTACTTTTTCTTTGAAATACCACAATTACCACACTTACAGTTGTGTTGCTTCTGTCCTAGACCGAGACACTTGAATGATAGATCCCCAATCAGAGGTGGTACCACAGCGCTATCTCCATCTACCACATTACTCAGTACTCACTAAGTGTGTGCTTCGCATGTGAATTGAAGCAGCTGTACTTAATTTCCCATGGCCTTGTTTCTGTGAATTTAGGAATTGAAATCAAAGCTGACTTTCTTTCCTTCAGTTTAATTTCTAGTCTTCTACTGTTCATTAATACTCTTTCCATCTAGACATGTCCTAACACAACTAGAAGATTAAGTACTAGTTAGTGAAGTAGGTTTTGACATGAAAAGCTCTAAAGAAGTGATGTGGAGTTTGCTGTAGAAACCAATGACTAAACTTACAGCTTGCATCATAGGACTGGGGGTGTGCTTTGGTGGTAGAACAGTTGCCCAGTGTGACTCCCAGGGGTCTGTCCCCAGCACAAAAACAAAATATTAAAAAAGTGAAGGCAAATCAAACTTCTGAACAATCTCTAAATGAAGAATCTGATGATGTTCAAAGTTGTGTAGACGCTAAAGCACAACGAAGTTTTCCTAGTGTCTCTACTAATGAGTCCAACAACCTAATACAACTTTATACAACGATGTGACAACACAACTCCAGCACCTCAGGGAGAAGGGGCGCAGCCCTGCAGTTGAGTATACAAGTACACATTTCTTTAATGCAAGTCAAATCCCGTTATAATGCATCCTGTTACAACGTAACTCTTCTTTTGGATGACCACATTTTCAGCAACAGATACAACTTGACAAATACAATGAAACAACTGACAGTGCATTAAAATATACCAGAGTTAAATTAGTTACTGGATAATGGAAACAACCTCAATAAATTATCTCTCATACTGTGCTCTGCATTAGATGAAATACAAAATTCAACTGGAAAGGCAGATCAAAGAATTGCGCTTTTTCCTTGAACCAGACTTGGATAATGGGATGCGTATATCTTAAGTGGAGAGGGACTTAATCCATTTTGCTTTCAATGTATTTCTCAGGCTACCCATTTCATTGTAAACCTTATATCTGTGTCTCTAGGTACTGTTTCTGTTAAGTACAAGATAATAGCATTCTTTAAAATAATTTTCTATTAACTATAAAAGTACACTCAGATAAGAACTCTAAGTCATTTTCTTTTAGAAAAACATCAAATATTCAGGAAACTTTATTTTTAAATGGTAAATCAAATAGACACAGCTCTCATTTGCTCAAACATGCATAATTCAACCTGAATATAAAATGCACTCAACTGGCAAATTACATATGAAGTACAAAGGGAATGCAATTTTACATATATGAAATGATTGCTGGTTATAGCAATTTAACATTCAAATTAATCAAAACATTGTACAGTTAAAAAAAAACTTAGCCAATTACTATAGTAAACCAAGGGGAATTATGATATGGAATGAATTGAAAGCAAAAATAAGGCACCTGCTGTAACTTTAGAGCATTTAACTTTCAATTTTAGTTATAATAAAGTAGAATTAACCAAGATCTGTTTCAAAGAGGAATAAGTAAAGGGATTTATTGAGAAAGGCAGGTAACAAATCAGTTTAAAAAACAAAAACAAAAAAACAACCTGCTGGCCCTAAAGTCAGCTGATTCCTTTCTTATCTGAGCAATTAAATTCCTATACACTGTCCTTAACTACTCTTTTACTTTCTTCTATATTTCAGAGTATTAAAGTCCCTATAAGGTTCACTGTGTGTAGACTAGGTAGATTTCCCTTCTGTTCCTCTTTTTTAAAAAGCTTATTTAAAAGAGATATCCTGGACTGGGGATACAGCTCAGCAGCACAGTGCCTGCCTGACAAGCGCAAGATCGTGAGTTAGATTCCCCGTACCAAAAAATATACATAATAAAATAAAAGATATCCTGAGGCAATTAACAAAGCAAACAAACAGCCTTGTTCCAATTATTAATACACAGATACTGCTTGGGCTTTTTGCACTAAATTACAGCTAAGTGTATTAATAGCCAATATTTGCAGTTTTAACGAACTTGCATATTAGAAAACCCAAAACCTACCTTATCACCCTTACCCTATTTGTAAAAAGAAAAACTGATCACAACCTATAAAATCATACAAGACCAAGAACTGATCATTATCAGTAAATCCATTTAATTCCAAATGCCACTTTAGTGAGATGTATCTAGTATCCTAAGGAAATTTCAATCATAAACTCAGAAAAAGCATTTCCAAACTGAGAATAATTCATTAGTTGATGTGCTTTATTTTGTTTTGGTATTAAAAGTGCTACTAAACATGCTAAGCCGTCTTATAGCACACTGGATTCAACAGTAGGTGTTGATGAGGCATCCATTTTTAGTATTTTCCCTAAAATTTTGTCTAACGTAGTAAACCCCTTTGATATGTTAAAATAATTCTGGTGAAATCAGTGTGATATAAACAATACTTTCCTGCCTTTACTCCACCATGGAAGATTTTAGTGAAACTGGAGTAACTGCTTAGGTTATAAAATGCTTAACTAAGTTTTTTTCTTACAATGGGATCTGAGGTTAACTATACTCATGCATACAAAATCCAAGGTAGTGTAACAGAAATAACATTAAAATAGATGTAGCTATAAGCAACTTCACTTATATTATGCATTTAGCTTTTAAAAATTTTAGTTGCTAATGCTTGTGGCAAAACTAGGCTGTGTAATTCCTCCATTTATATATAAGCACCTTATTACAGGATAGTTACATGGCCCTATAATAGAGTGTGCTTTCAACTCAATAGTAATAAAGTGCCTAGCTATACAAAAACTTCAAGATTCCAAATTTTACATTAAGCTAATTTCATTTACATATTAGGGTTCATAAACTCTAGACCCTGTCTACACAGATTTAATCTAATTACCCATACTGCATACTATTTTAATAATCACATTAAAAAAAATCTTACTCTTTACTGGCTGAATAAGGGTCCGCTACTATAGCTTAACAATCAAATTTTATTGCTTTATTCATATGGTGCTTTTGCAAGGCACTGTGGTATGGACTAGAAAATCTGGAATGACTTGTGAAGAAACCTTGGAATGACACATAAGGATGATTTGAAAGTCATTCTGAGGCAGGATGCTTTACTGAATTGTTTTTAAACAGGGTATCAAACATCAGGAATGAGTTCAAGTTAAAATTCACAGGAGAATGGAAACATCTTAAGGTCAATCACTTCACATGCCCATCCTGATACTTTGAATAATCTGGAAAATTGCTGTAAAGAAAAAGAACAAATATTAAAATAAGCTTTGAATAAAATAGATCCAGTAACTGAAAAGTATCTAATAAAGTAGTTGTAGAATCTGAAATTATAATCATTTGCAAATACTACCTACCTTCAGTATAGTAAGTGAAGATAGGACTATCTTAATAAACAATCAATGCCTATAAGGAGTTACCATTATTATTATATTATCGTGTGTGCCTGTATGTGTGTGTGTATGAGAGGGAGAGAGAGAGAGTGCACAAGAGCTATGTCGGGGATTGAACCCAAGGCCTTGAACATGCTAGGCAAGTCCTGTAACATGAAGCTACAACCCTAGATCAAATTATTATTCTTGAGTCCTAGCTTCCCTGAACTGTATGTGTAAGTATCAAGGAAAGACTGTCAGTAGGGAATAACTTAAGCACCAAAACACACAGGTTTTTATAGCACAGTATTTATTTTGGTTTATCCTTAAATGATTAAGCATCCTTTTAATGGCCTGGCCTATAACATACATATTTCCTCTTTCTCACACAGCTCAAATTCAATAATCTTTAGGTTATATAAACTGCTTGGCTCTTAGCCATTTAACAAGAAAGCTTCCAACTGATAGGTTTAGAAGAAAGGCAAAGAAACGCTAAATAGAAGTCTTATTAACTTTAGAACGTTGAAAACAGAATCATCTACATCAATATTAACATCTTGCATACTTTCATGATAAATGAAAAAAGGCATTCTGTAATACATTTCCAGAAGCAAGAATCTGTTACTGTAACAGCAGGCTTCCCTCATAACTAATTTCTCTTACCATATGTCAAATGTTTCTTTTAACCTAAAAGCATTTGTCTTAGAAATTGACTTGCCCAACAGGTATACTTCCTCTATAGGGCATTGTCTGTAGGAGCTAAACTTTCCAAAGTATATGCAATCTTTGCCATAAAGATGTCAAGACTGCGGTACAGTTCAATTCTAAGAAGTGTTGTTCATGATGCTCCCAAGTTTCTCTGTAAAAGCACTGATAATGGGGCTGCAAGACAGTCTAAATTCTCATTTCCAGAGGTCCCCGTGATCATTACCAAAGATCTGACCTCTTTTCTCATCTCCTGTGAGCACACGGGAGAAGTTTCTGGAGCACTCCCCTAAGGGCATATGTGGGACAAGTGTTTGGTTCAGAAGAAACAGGGTGGAGAATTTCGCTACAGGGCTCCCTAATGGTCTGTCATCACATCACCCCAAACTTTTCGGCCAGCCCCCTACCCCCTCAAAACACTTACCAGAACCACAAACAACAAAAATGAAAAGAGCCAGTAACCAGGGTCCTACCGACGCCTTCTCTTCGGGGGCATTTCTCTGCAAAAGGAAAAGTCCCGTTTCAGGGGCACAGAGCCCACCCGGCCGCGGGCTCCCACTCCCGGCTGCGCCGGGCCAGGTCACGGGCCCTTGCGCTCCCTCCCAGGTGGCCCTCCGGTCCCGAGCCCTCTACTTAGCATCTGGCTCTCGGTCCCGGCAGCCCAGTCGGCCGGGTCCGGGCAGAACTCCGGCGCGGCGGGGCGGAGCGGAGCGGCGGGGCGCGCGTTCTCCTCACCGAGGTCTTGGCGACGTTGCCGCGCTGGGTGATATTCTTGCTGTGCTTCTCGTTGGCCGTACGGATCCGCTGCTTGGCGACCATCTTCTCGGCGCTGCCACCTGTCCGGCCGCGCTCGGACTCGCTCGCTCGCCTCTCCCCGCTCGCAGGAGGCTCCGCTCCTGGTGCCCGCGCCGCCGGAGCGAGGAGGCTCCCGGGCCAGGTGCCGCCGCTGGGCCTGGGCGCGGCGAGCGCGGGGGCTGAGCGCTGGAGGGGCGCGGGCCGCCGACCACGGCGACCGACCGGCCGGCCGGCGAGGTGGGCGCTCGGGAGGAAGAGGACAGGCCGCCGGGACGCTCTCGCGCCGCTGGGCTGGCCGGGGCTGGAGCGTGGAGCGCGAGAGGTAGGAAACGCAGGAACCAGACAGTGCCGCCCGCTGCCTCGAACTGCTCGGGCTTCGGCTGCCAACGTCAGCACTGGGAAAGCTCCGCCCCGCGGAAATCCAGACCCCGCCCGCTGGAGAGGCTCGGCGAGAGCCGGCGCACCCGCCCTGGCCCGGCCCTCGTGCTCCGGGAGAGCGGAGTGCCAGAGACGCGCATGCGCGCTCCGCGACCGGAAGTGGACGGGCCCCGAGGCGGCCGACCCGGAAGCGCTGACCCGCACGCTCCACGCCGGAGGAGACGTGTAGGGGCCGGGTTCGGCCCTTGTTGAACTTTCCCCCCGGCGTAGGGGTTCCCTTTTCCGGGATAAGATGGCGCCCTCCACGCCGCTGTTGACAGGTGAGTGCTGCATAAGCAAGAGACTCTTACACAGAGATTCTACAGTGCACTTCTACTGAGTAGTTTATCTTGTGTCTTTTCTCTTGAAAACTGCCCTTCGAGCCTTGGAGTCTGACCTCCCGTTTGTTGTGGTTTGCGGAAAGAGACGATTAGTTTTCTGGCCGAGCGCGACGGTCGGAAGTAAGGCCGTGCTCGCTGAGGGTCCCTCCCTTTAGCCCACCCGTCGCTCTTCCCTGCCCCATCGCCGGAACGGGAGCCCTGCAGGCGCGCGTTGCGCTGCTGACCTTGCGTGGAGCCTAGTTAGTCCATTTGGTTTTATGATCTGGACAAAAAAATAACATAAATTAAACATGTGACAACATTTTAAGTACACCCGAGTTCAAGACATTACCAATTCTCTGCTTCCTTCCCTGAGGATATTTGTGGAACTCAGTAGGCTGAGTGAAGCTGTGATGGTGTAGGTTTCAAATGATGGTTGTGGTATCGGTGAGCGTGATAGGAATAATCGAGCAATATTCGGTATTGAATTAGGTGTGAGCATTTTAGAAACAAAACAGTAAAAGACTGCTGGGATTTCAAAGCTCAGGTAGATTGTAGAGTTGAAGAAGATAAACTTAGTCTTGTACAGTGCCTGAGCAGACGTTGGACCAGGATATGGCTATGATCTTTTTATTTAAGTTAGGAAGAAATCTTTGGTTACGTTATGATAACTATAAGGAAGAAAAAAAAAAGTCACTAAGGGAAAGAATGTCTACTTGAGACTTCAATTTGGTGTTTTTTTTTTTTGTTTTTTTTTTTGCGGAACCGGGGATTAAACTCAGGCCCTTGCGCTTGCCAGGGAAGCATTTGTTCTACTGAGCCATCTCCCTGGCCCCTGAGACTTGAATTTGAAAAGCTTTTCTATTTCTTGCCCGTCTATTAGGATCCATACTCTCTCCTATTTAGTCAGACTGCTACAATTCATTCACCAAACATTTATCAAACTTGTTACTGTAATCTATAGGTCATATGTCAAGCTGAGACTAAATAGCATGATTATATAATTATGTATTTTCTCTAGCTTCATAAAGGTAACTGTGTTACTTGGAATTTTTAATACTAAATAGTCAGTAGAACTAGTAAAAGCACATTTTAGAATCTGGCAAATTTTCTCTTTAAGATAGTTCTAAAAGGGGAGAATATTATACTATAAACTCCATTCTACTTAGCATAATAGCATATAGATCCCTTTATACTTTTGGAGTAGCTTCTAAACATTAATTCCTTGCCTTGGCTACTTATTTTACCTTCACTCCTGACTTGTTTATAAATTCCTTTAAACAGTCTGCAGTTCAGTTTAGCACTAGCCTTTTTGTGTTGATTTGGCGGATCTCTTTATCTATTAAAATTAATTTCAAATATTGTTCCGTGAAGCCTGTTCTCACTCTTCCCACTTCTCAATTGTTTGTGTGCGTAGCATTTTTGTTTTCACTTACCACATGGGGTAATTATCTACTTGTTCTGATATTTTTCTCTTCTGCTAGACTCCAAACTTCTTGGTGTTAGATACTTAGTCCAGAACCTAGTAAACAATAAGCACCCTGAATGCTTAATGGAGAAATTAAGTAACAAATAGCTCGTTGCTTACAGTTAAATTAATCAAGGATGACAGTTTTTTAAAATGCTTACAAGCGGGCAGTTTGTAAGACCTTATGTTATCCCAATCAGTTTTCTTTTCTTATCCTCATATTCTTAAGAGTTCCAGAGAGGACTTTATCAGGTTCAACCATACTGCTGATAGACAAGGCCAAGACTGTGTTTAGATCAATCCATTTAATTGTCCATTTCCTATCTTTAAAGTACACTACTTAATCTTTTAAACATTCTCAGTTTAGATTTTTTTTTTTAACTTCCAATATTTTTTATGAATTTAGACTCATTTGCCAGGTGTCGTGACCCCTGCCTGTAGTCTCAGCACTCCAGGAGCCTGAGACAGAAGGATTGCCAGGAATTCAAGGCCAGCATTGTCTACATAGTGAACTCAAGGCCAGCCTTAACTCCACAGTGAAACCTTGTGTCAAAAAAAATTAGACTCATTGGATTATAAAACTAATTTGGAGATTATCTGGTAAATTTTATTAGCAACAACTCTTAATTGAAAATACTAAAAAAACCAAAGCAGGTGAAAAAGGTTTTTTTTTTTTTTTTTTTTTTTTTGTAACTCCTGTAACTTAAAAGCTTTAGTACTGCTAGTTTTAGGTATTCACATGACTACAAAGATCTGCTTTGTTTTATCCCAAGCATCTTAACTTCCCTCTTAAATTCGTTTTTGAGCTGAGAGTCAACCAGCTCAGCAGCTCCAAAAGAAAGCATATTTTTGCCAGTAGTCCCAAGAAAAGTCAAGATCCAATATTTTTAGCGTGGCTTGGCTCTTACCCATCTTTGAATCAGAACATTAGGACCAGTTATATCTTCACCTCTAGTTGATTTTTAAAGGAATTGAGTATTTCCTAAAGAAGAGCCTACTTTGAGGCAATGTAAAGCAACATGAAATCCATATTAGCAGCTTGCTTAGTTGAAGGTACTGAGATAATTATTCAAAATTGAGTCATTTTCCTAAATTGATATGTAGCTCAGCAAATGTAAGTTTTTAAAAGTACATTTTAAAAATTATTACAACTTGTGTTTAACATAGGACACTTGCTTGTTGAAACCCAGTTGCATCATTCTTTCTCCTAGAGCAATAAATGGTACTTGAGTCTTTGAAAAGGCTGGTACCTTTAGAAATGATAATATGTAGTTACAATATTTAACATAATCATTGTTTATAAACAGATAGTGTGAAACTGGAATTTATGTTAATAAAGAACTTTTGAGTTCTGTATTTTCTTCCACTACAATGTGTTGCTGGCCCTCTGATTAAATGACTAAACCATCAGAAGCAGTCACACCAAATGTGAATACACTGTGAAGCTAATTTCACAGTCCATTTTCTGTATTACATTCAGACATTTATAATTAAAATGGATTCCATATTATGAATTGGAAATATTTATTACAGTTGTTGAAAAATTTGTTGAAGCCAAGTTTATTTTTGCTTTTATTAACTTGTAATATGGTTTATGTTGTTATGAACTTGATTTTTAATTTTTCCCATTAAACTTTATATCCATTGATTTAAATTTGTGTGGGGAAGTTGTTCAGGTTGATTATCTAGCAAAGGAGAGATCCAAAAAAAAACCTAGAGTACTTTCTCATGCTAAGGCTTCAATTTAGGGAAATAGGAAACAAAGTAATTGTTTTATTTTATTTTTTTAATTTCTTAAGTGTATTTTTTATTTAAAGAAAATTTCATGTGATTTAATACTCATTAAGGTCACTTTAATGAGGCTGTCTTCAGGGTAGCCCTTTTAAAAAGACCTGAAGCTTATTCCAGCCATCCCATCTGTCCTATATGATAGATAATTAGAGTCATCAGTGAGTTCTGGAAGCAGCCTAGGTCTTATACTTCATTGATAATTAACTAGAGGGCCTGGAGGAGATAGCTCAGCGGCATAAGCACCTGCCTGGCAAAGCACAAGGAAGGTAGATCTGAAGTAACCCATTACACCGCCCCTCCCCCCATAGAACAAACTAGAGAAGCCAAACCTGGAAAGATCTTAAGCATGCTTTGTGGTGAGCAATAATTTTAAATATGGCAGTTGTAAATAATATTGTACGGTGTTCACCTAGGCAATGTAATGTTCCCAACAGGTTGATTGCTAACAAGGTAGCAGACAGAAAACCTAGTGGGAAATTTTTTTATGGTCATGTCCACAGCAAAAGTAATTGTTTTAAATAGTAATTTATATGTATGAATAAAGCTATAATGATCCAATGTGATTGTTATAAATTCTCTTGTAAAACATTGTGTACAAAGAACATTGGTTAATTTGACAACTACTCTCATTGTAGCTTTTATAAGTATTTTGTCTCATAGAGTATTTTTGCCATAGTACAAGAATCTTGGTTTATTCAATATTTGACTAAAACTCTACATATTGTCCAGTATTCTCAAGCACAAAAAGCTTTGAATTGATTTAGTTTCTTGCCATATTGAGAATAAAGAATCACTACCAAAAATCATGTGATTTTTAAAAGAAAAAATTGATACAATTTAAGACTTTGTAATGGTGAGGATTGGGGAGGAAAATGGACCTTTATATCCTGTAGATGGGAATGTAAATTAGTATTACCATTATGGAAATGAATGTGGAGGTTCTGTAAAAACCTAAAGATAAAACTACCATATGAACCAGCTATAGCACTCCTTGGTATATACCCAAAAGAATTAAAGTAAGTATACTATAAAGATATCCATAGTATAATTCACAATTATTGCAGTATAATTCACAATAACCAAGACGTGAAATCAGCCTAGGTGTCTATCAGAAGTGAATGGATAAAGAAAATAGTACATATGCATGATGGAGTATGAAAAATGAAATCAGAAAACAAAAATAGATGAAACTTTAGTCCATGTTAAGAAAACTAAATCAGACTCAGAAAGGCAAGTATTGCACGTTATGTAGGATCTAGAACAAAAAAGATGACATGAAAGTAGAAGAGAGACTATTAGACAGGAGGAGGGTTAGAGGAAAAAGGGAACATAAGGAAAAGTTAAAAAGCTGACCAAATAGTTCAATGGATTGAAGTGCCTGCAAGCAGGCACAGGGGCTGGGGGTTTGATCCCTGGGTCTGCCGTGCCAGCCCCGCCCCAGGGGTGTGCTGAGACAGCAATTGAGACTGGGTGTGGTGGCGTGCACCTGTAATCCCAACTCTTCGGAGGCTGTAAACAGGTAGATCACTACTAGTAGTGAGATCCTGAACACCCTGTAAATCCTTCCCTAAAATAAAATTAAAAAAAAAAGGAAAAGTTAAAAAGGGAGAGATATGATCAAAATATGTTCCGTGCATTATGAAAATATCATAGTGGCCATTCATAGTGGTACACCTATAATCCCATGACTTGGGAGGCTGAGGCAGTATGAGTACTCTGCAAGTTCAAGGCCAGCCTGGGCTACATATAGAGTTCAAGACCCAGTCTCAAAAAAATGAGACAGACAGAGACAGAGACAGAGACAGACACACACACACACAGACCAATCGACCACAGGAAACCCTAAACTCCAATTACTAAGCACTGTGTGTGTGTGTGTGTGTGTGTGTGTGTGTGTTGGAAAAGTTCACAGAAGTCACAATAATGGTAAATAGAGTTAGGTGTACTTTTCACCCAGCTTTCCCCAATGATAACAACGTATACAGTACTGTTAGAACCATGGTATGTTGTTAACATGGATACTGGTACAGTAGTATTTACTAAACTACATTCCTTATTCAGATTTTACCTGTATGTCTTTGTACATATACATAGGTGCTAAGAAGTGTTATCTGTATAGATTCATGCAACCAGCACTATTAGAATATAGAACTGTTCCTTCAAAAAACTATTGTGGTATTCTCTTACAATATGACCTTTCTTCCAGCTATGATTTTTGACAATTGCTGATCTATCCTGTATTGTGTTAATTTTATCATTTTTTAGGAGTGTTGTATAAATTTATAGAAAATGTAACTTTTGGGTTTATTTAGAATGTGAGCATACACGTATTGAAAAGCTGTTGATTAATTGACTCAAGATTTTCCTCTCAGAAATGTACTAAAACAAGAATTGGAGACCATATCAGACTTTGGATATTACCTCAACAGAACAGAATGGCACTTTACACTGGCTTTTAAAATGCCAAGTGTTGACTTCTAGGTTTTTGAATTAATAATTTGCATGAAAAAGTATGGATAAAATGCATTTTATTTTTCTCACTACTGGGGGGAGTTCCCACCTGTCTTAGTCTGGGACAAAGGTCTGCAATACAGATTTTTTTTTGGGTGGGGGTAGAAGGCAACTTTATTACACTTTTTCTGAGCTTCAGATTCTAAGGATATATCATCCTTATATTTGGTTATGGCTCAAAGTGGAAAAACCATTCTAGAACATGGAGAAAGTTGTCTGTCTGACTTTCTATTTTTTAATTTATTTTTTATTTTTTTGTTTTTTTAACTCAGTAAACTGAGTTTAATTTCAGTAAACCTTAATTTGTCTTTCTTGTCCTTTTTACTCTGTTCTTGAATTTAATTTGAAAAGAGCATAATAACAATTGATGAGACACAAGAAGTGGCACACATTTAAAAGAACAAGATGACAGTTACTCAACTGTGGTTTTTATATTGCACATTGCTGTCCAATGTGATTGCTCAGATGGTAGGTATTAGCATGCAGACCTAAGTTCTGATGTTGACTGGTTTGTAAGAAGCTCTGACACTGGATTTTTTTTAAATTTCCCCGAGTAATTCTGATATTCACTCAAGTATGCTGTGGATTTACTGTGCAAGGCCTGCTGCTGTGCCTTCTTAGTGCATTAACTCATTTAATTTTCAAAATAATCCACGAGGTATATTATTCAGATACAAAAAGTAAATTATTCAAGGAAACCTAGTTTGTTTCAAACCTGCTGGTCTGTTTCCAGTATGTATAGGGAAAAAAAAATCCCCCCAGTTCTGAGAAAATTCTTTTACATAGTGTATGTATGGGGAATCTACATAACTACATTAAAGTTATTGATCTAGTCGCTCCTTATAATACTGTCAATTAACAAACATCCCATTCCTACCAAAGTCTGTCAAGTTTAACTATATCCAAATACCTTGAGCATTTCAGTCTATTCATCCCCTAGAGACTTTTATACTTCATTTCCAGCTAGTTCAAGGATACAGCATTGCCTCATTGCTTAATTTTTTTTTCTATAATTTTATTGAGAAACAAATAGCAATGAGATAATTTCAAACCAAATTGGCAGGACAGTTTCAATAATTAACACATTGCATACATTCTTCCTAGTGGTTAATTGCTATACACGATGCAGACATGATATCCTATTTACAAACACTATTAGAACAAATCCCTCTATTCATTAAGAGAATGTAACTATATATCTATCCCAACCACTTTGAATACACAGATACAAAATGGACATTTATCTGTATCCCCTTTTTTTGTTAAGTTCCGTTATTTGAATATTATAGGTGTGTTAACTCAGCAAAGTATTCTAAGAGTCCAGTAGTCCATAATAGTATTGGGTCTTCCGCTTCCTGACAATGTCAGAAATTGTTGACCTGAGTCCCCTACAGCTCAACATAACACCATGGCTTTACTTCTTATACTTTGTTTTTATACTTTTTTGCTAGATGGTTAAGATCAAGGTAAAGCAGGACCTATGCAACAAGAGTTGTAGCTTTTGGGTTTGATAAGGTCAATGAAGTCCCCTCAGGATTTATGCTAAGATCCTGTACCTCAGATTGTAGAACCTTTGTCAGTGTCAGCCATGTGATGAGTCATGGCCATTGCTTGGCCAATGTGCTCTCTGTGAAAGCCTGAGAGAATGTTTTCTCTCCATGTGACTCTCCTTAGGCACACTACATCATCAATCACTTTCCTCTTTGGCCCCATAATCTCCTTGATCAGAAAATTTGGGACACTACTGAGTTACGTGACGTTACAGTACAAGTTCTCATATGCCCTGAGTCTTAATTGACCTTCGAAGGCTAAGGCTAAAATGTTGGCTTTCCTTGCGGCCCTCCTTTTTCTCTAATTGTGTTCTGCAAACTTAGATTGTTAACCCTCCAGTCAAATACAGATTTTTAAAGTGAAAAAAATTTCTGCTATTTACCTTGATACCCTGAGAATTCCTACTGTTCTACTGAGAAAGACTACCTTTATGAATTCTGGAATATAGCTGCAGTTAGATTAATAGAACAGAGAGCTTGGGTGCATTAGCCTTTCCCAATTAGATTGCAGCTTCATTGGGACTGCACTGAAAATGTGCCATTTTGTTATCTTAAATTTATATATGAATTCTGAAAGAGAATTCTTCCTGTGTTGGATTCCACTATAGTTTGTGAGAAATCTTATTATGCTGACAAAATGTTATGTAAGTAGGGATAAGGTATACTGTAATTTGGTCAAATAAACTCCCTAACTTGAGAAATTCCTTTTTTTATTAACACTTCAAATGTTTAAAACTTCTAGTATTACCAATGACCTATTCTTTTCTAAATTGTAATGAGTCATATGTAATATTGCATCACATCATTGATTTGGTCATGAGAAATCTCACTTTGTCATAAGAAGACTAAAGAATTAAACTTTAGAGTTGGAGATGTAGCTCAGTGGTAGAGCAAAAGCTTAGCATAGCATGAATAAAGCCCTGGGTTCACTCCAGAACACCACAATAAATAAATAAAGCAATTTTATCATTTTTAAATCTCAGAAAATGCTTATCTCTAATGCAGTGAGAGATTTTTAAAAATCTGTAATGGCTAGCACATGATAGAGCTATATATAGACCAAATTATATAAAATCTTGTAAGCTGTAATGTAAGGAGTTTGGATTTTGAAATATGCAGTGGTTTTCTGGGCTCCATTCTATTCTAGGCAAAATTATCTACAGGGACAAATTGTTTTGGAAGATAGTTCTATCTCGTGTTTTATATATGAGGAAAATATGGCACCCAGTGCTGTACTTGTCAGTGTCTAACGAGAAATTCATTGCTCAGTTGTACATTTACTTCTTTTTTATCTCTTCACTAAATTGGTAGTTCCATGAAAGCATAGATTTTGTTTATTAGTGGTTCTTTTGTTTTTGTTGTAACTTTAGATTATTTGCTGGGCTTTTGGACCATCAAATATCTGAAATTTGAACTATTTAATTCTTAGATAGAATATCAGTGTTCTGATAACTGCCTCTTGACTGTTCTTGAGAAGAGAAAGGAAATAGGGATTAGAATTGGAGCCAAGACTGGCTCTACCTACCAGTTTTCGTAGTTTTTTAATAACCAGAAGAAGAGTAAGTGATTTGTGAATAACTACCAAAAAAGGAAGCAGATATAATGGTAGCCTCAGACCTTGATAAAACTTTATTCAGCTTCTATAGAGTTGTTGGTAGCAAGACTTCTAGCTGATAAAATATCAACACATCACCAAGTCTTCTTGATTTTCTAGTATTGCATATTTATTTCCCAATTTTTGTCTCAATTGTTGGTCCAAATTCTATAATCTCTGGTGCGATTATTGTAGAAGCATTTAAAAAACTCTCATATCTATTATTAATCCCTACCACCTCATTTTCTGTGGTGTATGAGATTGGCTTTTTCAAAATTCAAATCTGGATTTAATAGTCTGCCTAAAGCACTTGAGGTTTCCCAACATCCTTCAGATACAAACCAACACTGCTTAATTTATCCTTGGACTAAACCTTATTTTCTTTTCCAGGTTCATCTTGCAGCTACACAGGGCTTTGCATTCAATTCTGATGCTGTCAGTTCTCTTTCCATGGAGTTCTTGAAATTACTGCTGTTCTCTTAGCTTATTAAATTAACTGCTATTCATTCTCCTGGTTTCGGCATAGGAGTTACTCATGGTTTATTTATATAGAGTGTACTGTGCATTTCTACTAGTCTGTGAAAAGAAGCAATTCTTTAATTTATTTCATCTCCTTTTTTCAATTGTTTTTATTTTTTCTCTTACTTTCTTATACATTTTTCTTTTTTTCTTTCTTCTTCCAAATAGACATGCATATATGTGATAATATGACTAGCGAGTTGAAAGACAATACTATGTATTACAACAAATACTGTGAAATTCATATTACTTTAAGTGAAATTCTGTATCACTTGTAATTTTTGTCTTAATTCTCATTTGTACTCTCTTTTAAAAATAATAAAAAAATCAAACCACTAAAAATAAAATAAAAAATAAATTGTTCCCCAAAGCATCATGTGCTTTCATGTGGGGCTTTTGGGATCAACTAGATCATGGTTGTGTGATACTTGCTGAGTCTACTGATTGGATTAGTACAATTCTGGGTGGGACTGTATAGATTTATTGAAGAGGCAAGACCCACCCAGAGTGTGAGTTGCACCAAGCAAGAGGCTTGTTTGTAGCTGAATGGAATGAAAGGGAAGGGGAAGCTTGCTGCGGCTGTTTCTTGCTTGCCTTGTCAAGACTTTCTCCTTTGCCATGCACCTCTCCATGTGACCTTGCCTTGGAGCCAGTAGACAACAGGCTGAAGCCTGTACAAAGTAGGAGCTAAAATAAACCTTTCCTCCTTTAACTTGTGGGTGTTGGGTATTGTGTCCTAAAAACAACAAAGTAACTAAGGCACTGATCGATTTGTATGTCAACTTCATATCATGTGTTCTATAGAACCATGTATCTTCCTTTGTAGTACTAAATTAAGTTATATAGTTTTATATATTTGCTTAATTTGATAAATGTGAAGCTGGGTGTGGTGGTGCATGCCTGTAATCCCAGCACTTAGTAGGCTGAGAGAGAAGGATTGCTACAAGTTTGAGACTGGCCTAAGCTACATAGTGTCTTCAAGCCAGCCTGTACTACAGAGCAAGACCCTGTCTCCAAAAACAAAACAAAGAAAGGAAACAAAAAAAAAAATGATACTATGTGCTGAGTTTATGCAGTCAGGCACAAGAGTGCTTTTCCTAACTATTGTATATACAATGCTAAGTATAAATAGGACCTAGGAGTTAGGTGTCCTCTGCATCACCCCCCATAAACATTAGTTGAATGAATAAATTAATTTATTTGGGTCAGCTTTAGATTCAGCCATTTAAAAGAGTATTATGAATGCCCCACATATTTATTTAGTCATGAACTTTGTCCTCACTTAATTTTTTAGATATTACTACCATTAGGGCTTAGTAAATGAACATATTGTATTTGTTGTCTTAGTTTTAGAAAGTGTAAATATGTTACTATCTTATGGTTTTAAGAATTTTAAATACATGTTATGTTCATGGTTTTTTGGGTTTTTTGTTTTTGTTTTTTTTGGTTTTTTTTTTTGGTTTTTTGTTTTGTTTTGTTTTGTTTTGTTTTGCAGTGCCAGGGATTGAACTCAGGACCTTGTGCTTGCCAGGAAAGCGCTTATTCTACTGAGCTATCTCCTGGCCCCCAAGATAGTTTATATGAAGCATACAGATACGTGTTCCAGCATTTCCCTTTTACAGATTAAGGCACTGTTCGAAGATAGTGATACGTTTAAGGTTTCACAGCCCATTGTAAACTTAGCTCTGCCAGAGTTCATGTCAATTCAAACCCCAGTGTATATGCCTTTGTTGTACCTATGACAATGAAAGTTAAAATTTTTTATTCATCTTTTTAATTTTAATTTTATTTGTACATGGTACACAATGATTATATCCATATGGGAGAGTTGGGAATCACATTTTGTTTTACTTCCCCTTCATCCTTTCTTCTTATACCCTCCATCTATTGATTCTTTTCTCATTGTAAAAGACCTCTGTATCACTGTTTCCTATTATTTATCTTTTACTTCATTATTCATATCTTGGGTTTCTCATTTAAGAGAAACCATTGATATTTAAGCTTGTATGTCTGACTTATATCATTTAACATTGTGGTGGTCTCTAGAAGAATCCCTTTTCCTATAAATCAAATTTAATCTTTATAGCAGAGTAGGACTTCATTATAAATGAGTACCACATTTTCTTGTTTATTGTTTTGTTTTGTTTTGGGTTGTGATTTTTTGAGATAGTATCTCACTTTGTGAGTGCAGGCTGGCCTTGAACTTGCTACAGTCCTCCTGCCTCAGACTCCCAAGAGCTGGGATTGCAGACATGGGATACCACGCCCGTCGAGTAAATTTTCTTTATCCTTTAATTTAGTAGTGAACGTATAGGCCACATCCAAGTGTTTGCTGTTGTGCATTGTGCTGCTATAAACATGGGTATGTATATATCGCTATGATACGGTATCTTTAACTCTTTTAGAAAGGTATCTAGAAGGAGAATAGCTAAGTTGAATGGAATTTCTATATTTAGTTTAGTTAGGAATCTCCATACTGACTCCCATAATGATTGTACTCATTTAATTCCCACCAACAATATACATGAGTTCCTTTTCCCCTGCACCAGCATTTATTAACTTGTTTTCTTGAAGGTTGCCATTCTTTGTAATTAAGATGAAATCACAGTATTGTCTTAATTTGCATTTCTCTAATGGCAGATGTGCTGAATGTTTTATTCATGCGTTTGTTGAATACTTCTTCTGTGCAGTTTCTTTTTATTGCAGTTGCCCATTCTTTTAGCTGGATGTTTTGGGAGGCATTTTTTTTTTTTTTTTTTTTTTGAGTTCTTCATATATTCTACATGTTAGAGAAATTGCAAGTCCTTTAAGGAGTAGCTAGCAAAAAAAAAAAACAAACCAAAAAATTCCCATACTGTCGGTTATTTCCTTCATTTTAAAAAAGCTTTTTAATTTGATACGTTGATTTTTAATGTTATTTCTTGTGCAACTGAATTTCTGTTCAGAAAGTCCTTGTATACACCTGTGTCTCCAAGAATTTTACCTATTTTGTCTTCCAATAGGTTAAGTATTTCAGTTTTGGTATTCAGACTTTTGCATCATTTTGATTTTAGTTTAATACATGGTCAGAGGTACAGGCCTAGCTTCAGTCTTTGGCATGTGTATAACCAGCTTTCCTAGCATCACTTACTGTCTTTCCTCCAGCATGTTTTTTGCCTGTTGTTGTCTTGGGTGTACCCCTACTTTCTGTATTCCCTAGCTAGAAAGTGTGGGGGCCCTGTGAGAGCTTTCTAACAATTGGGTTTAGCATGCTGAATGTCCCCTAAAACAGCACTCCCATTTGTATGTAGAATGAGGGGAGACTTAATTTTTTTGTGTTGGGTAAACCTTGGCGGTCAAATCTAAGAGCAGTCTACCACTGAACTATATACTCACCCCTTTATATTTTTTATTTTGCCACAAGGTCTTGCTAAGTTGACTATAGACTAGACTCAAACTTGTAGTCTTCCTGCTACAGCCTCCTAAGCAGGTGAGATTATAGGTGTGACCTGTTTTTATTTATAAAAGTTATATATTTTCTCAGTAGTGAAACATGTAATAGGGTAAGACAGTGTGCCTTTTAGTGTCAACATTTATGGTACAATGAACACTGTATAATGATTTCTTTAACATATTGAAGGCTTTTTAAAAAAAACAGAATTGAGTTTTTGGTAGCTAAATCATTGTGGTTCTTTCCATTATATTTCTTTAGTACGAGGATCAGAAGGACTGTACATGGTAAATGGCCCACCACATTTTACAGAAAGCACTGTATTTCCAAGGTATGGTTTATTTTGTTAAGTGTCATTGTAGGAAATATAAGTACATTCTAAACTGCTTTTACAGTTGGTACATTTTAAACAACAAAGTAAAAAACTTGTTTTGTAGGATATAATATATAATATTGACAGAAAATGTAAAAAGTACATATTCTTTATGAAAAAAAATATTTTCAGATTTGGACACAGTTGCCAAAACTTATTTTTTTTTTAAATTTTTATTTTTATTTATTTGAGAGAGAGAGAGAGAGAGAGAGAGAGAGAGAGGTGTGTGTGTGTGTGTGGCCAGCTCAGCCCACCAGGGGGCAGGGCTGGCTGGCATGTGGTGCTGGGGGATTGAACCGTGATCCCTGATGCCTTGCCAAGCTTGTTCTAAGTAGGTGCTTTAGACCACTGAGCCATCTCTCCAGCCCCAAAACTTATTTTTTTTTAATGGAGGGAAATGATACTAAGGAAAAGTATAGGCACTAGTGTAATTGAGTTCAGGCCTTTGGTTTGGAAGAGTTTTATCTAAAAGAATGAGAAAAATTTGCAAGTTTTTTACATACCTTGTAAAGTTTTGGCTACTTGATAACAGTATTATTGTCAAGTAGTTGGACTTTGGGGTCAATGAGATAGCTCAGTGGACTAAAGCGCCTGCTTAGGCACACTTAGGTAAAGCGTGGGGACTGTGGTTTGATCCCTGGCACCACACTGCCAGCCCCGCCCTGAGGACAGGCAGAGCCAGCCAGAGTCCAGGTGGGCATGGTGGTACGCTCCTATAATCCAAGTGCTGGGGAGGCTGAAAGCAGGAGGATCACCATGAGTCTGAGCTGCATGGTGAAACCCTGTAACAACCAAATTTAAAAAAAAAAAAAAAGTATTTGGATTTCCACAAATGCTGTACAGAATCCTACATTGACCTTTAATATGAATATTTTCTTATTGTTAGAAGTTCTGTCTTTATAAGTGAGAAGTTGATAGGCTTTGTCCTTCAAATCTGGGGACATTGGTTGGCCACTTGAATGTATTCTGTCCGTCACTGTTCTGCTATGTGGGTGATCTGGGACCATAAAATCTTCTTTTGAAATCCTTCAGTCTTTGTAAAATCAGGGCTGACAACTGGTAACTTTCAAACTCAGTTATATTTTTGTGGTTTCCACACAAACCATTTATTCCAAAATAGGTCTGTTTGTCTCTTAAGATTAATCTGTTGGAATAAAGTCAGTTTCCAGCTTACTTTACAGTGGTCGTTGGTACTGCAGTCTAAAAAAGATATTTTCACAGGCTAAAGCTTTGTGGAATGTTTTCTGAACTTTCCCAAAGTCAAAAAGACCATGAAAGGGTTTGAATTTATTGAGAAAATCAAGGCAGTCGCGACAATACATATAACCAATGAAAGACTTGAAAAAGAAATTTCAGAACTGCTTTAGAAAGTGGCACATGTCCCATGTTCAAGTCAAGGGAAATATTTTACAGGGGATTAGTGTTTTTAATAAAATAATAGATTGTATAAATTAATAGATAAATTAATAGACTGTAGTCTTTGTAATCATATTTTTGAAAAGCATTAATGTTTTATTATATTTTTTTGTCATTTTCAGGGAATCTGGGAAAAACTGCAAAATTTATACCTTTAGTAAGGATGGGACCTTGTTTGCCTGGGGCAATGGAGAAAAGTTAGTGTTCATTTCTATAGCATTATATCCTATGTGGGTCATGAACATGAATATAACTGACATAATTTGAATAACATGTACGTGAGTGTCATTAATGTTATTAATGATTTATGAATGTCATGATGTAGTGAGGCAACTACAAATACTCCCAAAGGGATATATAGATATATATTGTCTCCGTATATAGATATATAGATACATATTGTCTCAGTTACTTTTCTCTCTTTTTTAAAAATTTTATTTATTTATTTATGTGTGTGTGTGTGTGTGTGTGTGTGTGTG